GCCGCAAAACAAGTTCTGTGAGCCCAGCAGTCCCCAGCACAAGCAGTTGCTGTCCCTTGGTGTTTGGGTTTCAGGTTTTGTCTTTTGTTCCCAGAATCTGTTTTCATGTGAGGCAAGAGCACAAACAAAAATAAAGAGGAGTTCTTATGGGAATACTTAACAACAAGTCTGTTTCTGTCCGGGGGTTTACATCAGCGGCTTGTTTATGTTTGAGAAATGCGAGTGACTCATCATCTTTAAATGAGAGAGGAGATTACTGTTTAAAAACTGAAGATTAATTTTATTTTATTTTTTTTTCCCCAAAAAAGAACTAAGCAAGAACGGGTAGCTGATAGAATTCAGATTGTCCCTGATGGCTGAGATGTCCAGCAAAGTCCTTCTGTAAGCCAACAGAGGGAAAAGAAGATGTTTGAGACCCACAGATAAATCTAAAAAATATAAACCCCTACAGCAATTTTAAGTGACATAAGAATTTAACTTTTGGCCAGAGTTTCAAAGAGATTATCTTTGCTAAAATCATCACATGATGGAAGCTTGCCATGTAGAAAATATCAAGAGTTACTGACTTTTCTAAACATAGCAACTTCTTTTTAAATAGAAAATGAACACAATAAGAAAAATAGGCTTTCCATCAGGAAAAGAAACCCTCCCAGTCCATTCCCTTCCTGCTCCGTGCCCTAGAAGAAAATTATCTTTTAAAACCTTAACTACAATCAGAAACACGAAGCACATAACCCTTTCATTTCTAATTGATGATTATATTAAGATTTAATAGTTTACAATTAAGATGAATATTTCAAGATTACAGCAAAACCCACACCGTTCTCCATTTGCTCTTCTGTTCTAAGTCTGTAATTAATTTGGGGAGGGGACCACTTCTTTTTTTTTTTTTTTTTTAGAGAGAGACCTTAATTAAAACAGCAGCAGATTTGGTTTGAACACAGAGCCTGTTTTGACTCCTTCTGCAATTTGATTCTCTCTCTCTCTCTCTCTCTCTCTCTCTCTCTCTCTCTCTCGACCTTCCCTTTCGAAGATGGTTTCTGCTCAAGACAAGCATGTGATCATCAAACAAACGTTTGAAAGTTTAGAAACTTCTATGCCAGTCGACAAGGTTGACATTTCATTAACTTGTTGGTTCAGCCTTCAGATGATTTTGTGTGGCAGAGCACCCTCTGTTTGGAGTTTACAGCTTTTTTTTTTTTTTTGTTCTTCCTTCCCCTTGCAGGCTACAGTCATGTTTAATTTGGAATCTGGGCTCCTTTGGCAAATTAGCAATTAGAACAATTTTGTGGGAATATGTATATGTGTCATTAGTTTTCCTGCAAATTAATAGCAAGGGCAGGGGTCAGGCAGAAATTTTCCACTTGACTGCAGCTCCTCTATTGAGAGCTGGCACTTGGTTTTGGAATGGCCACAGCTGTTCTCAGCCACCCTCTTCCTTAGGAACTGTCTTTTAATTAGTTTACCTCATAGCCATCATTACAAATATTACTGCCTCCCCTCCTCGAAGTAAAATTACTGTTTCTACAAAATATTCCGGTGACATCTTGCACCACTGCACATTGATGGTGGGGTCACTCGAATGCAGCATTTAATCATTAGATCACCTCCATCCCCGTCTCCTAATTAGAGTCCTTACAATACATTTTTATCTGGTAATTAGCCGAGATTGGCCGCTTCCTCTGTGGCTTATTAGAGACAGCCCAGCAGTGGGTGTGAATCACGGTGTCATTTGTCAAGCCTGGTATAAGCCCCCTCTCTGGTCTCCTCCGGCTCAGTGTTTATTTCCACTCGCTATGTTCAAAAGCCTCCAGAAAATTCTACCTGCATCTCTTCCCTTCGTGGATTGTGCTAATAAGCTGGAGGAATTTTTTTTTTTTCCACTGTTGCCTTTTTTGATAGAAATAGTCCAAGTGGTGGTAAGACCTTTGTCAAAGCTTCAAGGTCAAATTCTTTTTTTTCTGCATTTGATACCCCATTTCACTGTGGGATTTGTCCACTCTTCTTACACGTGGGCACCCAAAAAGAGGGGCTTACAAACTCGCCGAGTGTTTACATGAGTTTTGATTTTTTTTTTTTTTTTGACAATTAAACTAGAACCTAGTGGACTTGGTGATCTTCCTCCCTAAACTGGAAAGGAATATGCCTATTTCTTAAGAACACTTTGTGTTTATAATTTTATTAACATTTTTAAAGAAAACCAACATGTTTAGGGTGATGTTGTTAAGCCAAACAGTAGAGTCAGTCCTCAGAATTGTTTTGTGGTTTTTGTGCGCTTTTGCCTTTGACTAATGTCTGTATCTGATGGTAAGCACTTTAAGGGCAGCAATTAATAAGCATTTTATTCCTGGTTTTGTCATTAGAGGGCCAACTGCCTTATATTTATCTGCTCAGTATATATATTGATTGAATGTCATTCGTAAGCAGGGGTGAAAGCCATCCACTGAATCCTTTTTTAAAAAAATGAGCATACAGAACAATGAAACTGGCTAGTACTTATTTTTCCCATTAACTAGGCATAAGCAGCTTATACCAAGAGTCTAGAATCGTGTAAGTGCGTGGTTTGACTTCTGTTCCTCGTTGGGAATATGGACAAGTTATTTAATCTCTTCAAGCCTCAGTTTGCTTATCTGTAAAATGTGAGTAATAACATCTCAGATATTAGCAGTGGCATGAGAATTAAATAAAACCTACACAGTGGCAGGTGGTTTTTTAAACCGTGAGTTTTACAAATGTGACTCATGACTTTCCAGAGTGTTCTGAGATCCTTGGGCTCAGTAGCATCTGAATTATAAAACCTGTGTGTTCCTGGGCATCAGCCTTTCCTGCACTAATGTCCTTGACCCCCTGCCTGGGCTGAAGCTCGTACGTACCGTTCTTAGCCTTGGCCAGTGATGAAGGCCCTAGGCGAGGAAGAGGTCAGCTCTGACTCTGGCCCCGTGGCTCCTTAGCTCTGCTCCATTCAATGGTTGCTACTCTGAACTCCCAGCAACTTGCTTTGCAAATGTGGGTCATGAAGTCAGGTTGCCGGCACTGTTAACAAAGAGGCTCCCAGCATCTGCCCAGCCTGCCGGGGCATTTGTAAGGGCACTGCCATCAGCAGAGCTTGCTCTTCTTGGGCATCGAGGTCTATTGTTTGCTGAGTCAACATGCCAAGCTGAAAATAAAAAGGAAGAGGGCACAGCCAGAAACTCACAACCCAACGTTCGGTTGCCAGCGCTGTGTTTGCATTTTCTCGTTAGTGTTTCTTCAATGATGTTGGATCCTTCTTTCTTTCCAGATTCACTGCTTTTTCATGGAACCTCCCCAAACATGTCAGGGAGGAGTCTCATGACCCTTCTTTCTTTTTTTTTTTTTTTGACACAGAGTCTCACTTTGTTGCCCAGGCTAGAGTGAGTGCCATGGCGTCAGCCTAGCTCACAGCAACCTCAAACTCCTGGGCTCAAGCAATCCTCCTGCCTCAGCCTCCCGAGTAGCTGGGACTACAGGCATGCACCACCATGCCCGGCTAATTTTTTCTATATGTATTAGTTGGCCAATTAATTTCTTTCTGTTTATGGTAGAGACGGGGTCTCGCTCTTGCTCAGGCTGGTTTCGAACTCCTGACCTCGAGCAATCCACCTGCCTCGGCCTCCCAGAGAGCTGGGATTACAGGCTTGAGCCACCGTGCCCGGCCCCTTCTTTCTTTTAAAACTAGAATATGAGTAAAGGTTGAGTCTTCTCAGCAAATTGGAACTCTTTTAATATGTTCTTTGATTATGATCTCAGGGGAATCTCGTTGTTAATACTGCCTTGCACTTAAGCCTCACTATAGTGATGGTGAAATAGACTTACCATGGTAAGTGATTGAAAGTCTGGTTTGAGAAAATGTTACCAAGTAAGCCTTCTTTGCTGAAGGTTCTTGGATTTTGGGGGCAACTCTGTGTGTGAGAGAGCAGTTCTGTATAAACCGGGATCAAGATGTTGAAATCAACCAAGTTTTTCAGCATTGCTAGACTTAAAATAATATTTTGGGAAAGGGTTGTCCCTTTTAGTATTTATAAGAACAGTACCTTCCAGGTGAAGGTAGAACAGATAGATAAAAATAAAACAGGACTCATTCATTTTTTTTTTCTTTCCACTTCAAATAAATAATATTCATTTCCTTACCTGAAGCAATAGATTATTTTCCCTTTTACGGAACATTCAAAACATCAAGGAAAAAAAAAAATCAACAAAAATCTCTCAGTTCCAGATTTCTCATATTCCATAGAAGAAGATGCCATATTTAAAAAAAAAAATTAGTGGACCCCAATCCTATATTTGATAGTGCTTAATGAGGATGACACGAGGCTTTCAAAGGGTATATTCTGCCAACTGATAGGAATAAATGAAGGCTGACTGGGCTGGTGCCACTGTTTTTAATATGAGTAACAGGCATTAAGTGGCCTGTCCCATGCAGTCTAGTATGGTAGCTACCAGCCACATGGAGCTATTTAAATTTACATTTATTAAAATTAAAGTTTAATGGAAAGCAAGTGAAAACAGCTTTTTGGTTGTGCCAGCACATTGTGGAACGTTCTGGTCTATGACCAGAGAATTCCAACCGATGGTCCCTACAATATCCATCCTCACTGGTATAGCCAAGGACTCCGTCTACCTCTTTGAGGTTTACGAGGCATATTTGTGGATCGAAATAGGGTGAGACGAGACACGATCAAAGAAACATCTCGACTCAGACTTTCTCAAACTCGCTAGATAGAGCAGGTTAACCCCTTCCTGCGTCTGTGGACACCCGTAAAGCAGCCTTTGGAGAGGAGAACCTTGCAAGAGATCATTCTTGCTACACACTAAGTGGGTCATCTTTTAGGCCTTGCATTTTGGTTGATTGTACATGTGTCTGCCCGGGGAGGCAACGTCATCCGGGCCTCCTCTGGGCTATTCCTGGGGCACGTGAGGGGCTTTATTGGTTGCTCTGAAGGGTCTTCTAAGAGGTCTCCTCCTCCTCCTCCTCCTCACAGCTGAATCTGGTCTCCAGCGTCACCCTCTCCAAGTCTGCATCAGAGGCTTCTCCACAGAGCTTACCTCATACCCCAACGACCCCCACCGCCCCCCTGACTCCCGTCACCCAAGGCCCCTCCGTCATCACCACCACCAACATGCACACGGTGGGACCCATCCGAAGGCGGTACTCGGACAAGTACAACGTGCCCATTTCTTCAGGTAGATACTCCCTTCCTTGCCCCGTGCACAACTGTCACCTGCAGTTCTTGCAGACCAGCCTCTTTTAAAAAAAGTGATCATTAATAGGACAATGATTCTTATTTAGCAGATATTGCGCAGAACCAAGAATTTTATAAGAATGCAGAAGTTAGACCACCATTTACATATGCATCTTTAATTAGGCAGGTAAGTAAACACGCGCGGTATACAAAATTGTATCAGAAGGTATAATGCGTACGTGGATATTATTCTATTGATGAAGTAGATTTAAAGCTGCTTAGCATGCAAGCATGCTGAAAACCTTTTCTATAAGGTTTTTTAAAACCGCAATATATAACATAATTGCTTTTGATTAAGTATTACAATACGATGTGATTATTAGGAAATTCATTTCACACAACAGTGAAAATGAGCCTGTTTAAAGATGGCAAGTCAATTATCGCAAGCTACAGTAATCTCTGATCCCTAGAATTAATCTGAGCTCTAAATAATTACTGAGCTTTAATCAGCTAGTGAAATGTTTTGCATTTCTCTTTGATTCTGCTTTTATGAATGACTAATAAATTAATATTTCTGTACGGAAACAGAAATAAAAACTCAAAACAATTAGATAATTCCATTTTGAATTTTGCTATTGAACTGTTAAATGCAACCATTAATCTTAGATCATTTCATGAAACCTTTCTTAGGATTTAGCTCTGAATCACAAGTTATTTTAAATTTTCAAGAAACGGTATGATGGCGATTCTGCTGATGTGGTCATAAATTATCTTCCTCTGTTGCTGTTTGCTTCCCAGGCTATTCTTGAATCTCCAGAAAAGCAGCTAACACTAAACGAAATCTATAACTGGTTCACACGAATGTTCGCTTACTTCCGACGCAACGCGGCCACGTGGAAGGTAAGCTTTCTCTCAGGCCTGGTTAGTCTTGGACTTGACATTCATAGAACAGCTTGTCGTTGACAAAATGCATTTACACTATAAGGAAGTTACATTGACATTGTTTTGATACTCTCGAAACATGCAATCTTTAGGAGTATTTGATTGTGCACATAGTTCCATTGCGATTGAAATGCCCGGGTGGAAGAAGCCCATTGCACTGGCCACCCATAAAATCATTTCTCTCTGGTTGGGATACGTAAGGGAAAGAGCAGGTGCCACTGTTGCCGAGTGGTTGAGGTTGTCCTGTTACTTGCACAGACCTGGTGCTCTTAGGTCTTTGACCAAGCCAGTATTTGCAGAGATGCACAGTTAATTTGTGTTTTCACCAGTAGGAACCTGGAGAAATAATCAAACAAACTTGACACCACCTTCATTGGTGGGATAAAAGCTTGTTAACCCAATTAGTAGAGAAAGCTGTGCAGTCCAAAGACTAGCACCGTATATGGGAGTTATTGCAAGAGAATACAGTGTATTTAAGACTTTTGTTTTTAAGTCAAGAGATTGTCTCTCAGAGGCTCATAGATACCCTAAGGAAGAAAAGTAGCTTCTAAATTATGGAATTTTCATTATCACACACCATTTGCTATAAAACAGGTCAAATTCCATAGCTCCATGTTGCACGTCCCCAACAAAGCTTGGAGTCACATGGCATGCCTCAGCAGCTGTTTCGTAGATTCCACTGGTATTAGAGTAAGCTGTCACAAATTTTTGAACGTTCCCATTTTCAATTTCTTGGTGTCTAATATTTTTGCTTATAGAAGGAGGCAGGTACACTCTGCCATTTCTGTTTTTTGCATTTTTACTACCTGGAATTCTTACCCCTGAACTCCAAAATATTTGGAAACATTCAGTGCAAACATTTTAAGATATTTTGCATGTCATTAGTCTAAATCTGATAGGGATTTATTATAGGATGCAAGGGAAACTTGCTGTGCTTGGAATAAATGCCTTCCTCTTCAATTACTTAATTGTATATGGGAGAAAAACAAAAGGAAAAAAAAATGGAAAACCACATTTACTCTGTTAAGTTCCTGATAAATTAGCGTTTTAAAAGAAAATGAATATAACTATAGAATTAATTCATCAACTTTACAGAGCTGTGGCTGTCTATTATGGCCCATATAGTCTTTTCATGTCCCTGAAGACACAGGGCCCTGAAGGGAACCTGTATTCAAAATCCTACCTTCTTTTCCTCAACCTGCCTTGGGAGATAAAATATAAAAGATCTTTAGCTATGAATGCTTTTAAAAATTTAGGAAGTAGAAGCAGGAAGCCGACATTTTCTTCAGATTGCCTTTTATAAATAGAAATGATCAAATTTAAAAATAATTACCAGTTGTGAATATAATATTGAAGCTCAGATCTTCAGAGTGAACTTTTTCATTTTGCAAACTGCAGGAAAAAGTGTCATTAATATAAACAGCCCTAGATGAAGCGCTTAATGACTCATAAATACGTATAATTTTCTCTACGTGTCCTTATTTGTACCGTGATCTGAGACAAAAGATGAAATGCCCAGTGAAAGTTATGAGTGAAAAGAGCTTACTCATCTTTTTTGAAAACTCATGATTTCTGGTTGCTTTCTGCTTAGATGTGCAGTCTTGGACAACAAAACTTAAGTTTTGGCTTTGCATCGTTACTTAAATGGCTATATTGTTCAGCCAAATCTACAGAAACCCTTTTTATTGGACGTAGCTTCAAAGCTCTTTCAGTTCTGTACATTTTTTTTTTTTTTTTTTTTGGTGAGACAGAGTCTCACTCTGTTGCCCGGGCTCAAGCGATCCTCCTGCCTCAGCCTCCCGAGTAGCTGGGACTACAGGCATGCACCACCATGCCCGGCTAATTTTTCTATATATTTTTAGTTGGCCAATTAATTTCTTTCTATTTTTAGTAGAGATGGGGGTCTCGCTCTTGCTCAGGCTGGTCTCGAACCCGACTTTGACCGATCCTCCCACCTTGGCCTCCCAGAGTGCTAGGATGACAGGCGTGAACCACTGCACCCTGCCAGTTCTGTACATTTTGATATTTATCTTAAACATCAGTGATTAGGATGAAGAGCGATGTTGACTTCTTTCCCAGTTACTCTCCTATGTGAATACATGCTGTATCTGGATTTTTAAAGGAAATTTGACTTAAATAATAGCCAATCCCAGCATCCAGTACTACGCTTTTGTGCAGTATTAAAAAAAAAAAAAAAGGTTACTTAAAGGCTAGACTACAATGTATATGCAAAGAAATTTGTCCTACCAAGTATAATGATGACATACCAAGTATTTTTAGAGTTTTGTTTTGCTTGTTTTTAAGCAAACCCATCAAACATTTTTGAACGGGGTGTCCTTCGATAGTCACCTGAATCTCAAACCTACCCCAATTATGCTGGCATTACTCAAAACCTGCTGGGAATTTAATTCTGTGAATCTCCTTACAAACAGTTACCACTTCCTATGATAAAACTTGTCTCATGATTGTCTAAATATTCCACGTCAGAGAAGAAAAATTATTCTGTAGCTTGAATCCTCACCAATTGTGATTGCCCAAAAATTGAAAGTCTCAAGATGCACCACCTTTAAGGACAATTCAGGGAGGAAATGCCACATGCAGGTGGCAGACTACACAGTGTTTGTGCACTGGCAGCCTTGCTGGGATTGAGCGAGGGCTTACCAGGTATATGAAGCGTGATGTACCTGTCAGCTTCTCATGCCCTGATGAGGTCACCTACTTATTCGGTATAAGAAGAAAGCTTTAAGTAAATGACTTGGGTCTCTGTAATATCGTCATGCCCAGCGTTGATTCTAGATCAGGAAGTTCAACCAGGCAGGACTGAAGAAATGAAGCCACGCTTCTTACTGGACCCAGTTAAGGGGTTCTTCTGAAACTCAAAGGAAAGTTGAGATCTTCCTTTCTGATAGAATACCAGTGGCCAAGGGTCTCAGCTTAGGAATGACCAGAAATGACTTTTACCCATAGAAAACATCATCTACGGGCGGGAATGAAGTCATTTTGCCATTGAGAGTTCTACTCATGTGTGGCTTTGGCATTTGCTCAATTAAAGGCACCTGCTCACAATTAGGGCCAGCTCTCACGTATATTCCAGAAGGTAAGACCTAGCTTGATGATAGATCCTGGTCCCTTGGGGTCAGTTCACCCCCTGATCCTGTCGGCCAGCTACACGTGGTGGTACTCTCACTGGTAAAATCCAATTTAGAGTTCTTCTTGATAAAACCAATGGACATTTTTAAAGCTAGAAACTATCATTTTAAAGCTAGAAAATACAGCAAAACTGCATTTAGCAGTATTAACCAAGTCTTCATCTTTCATGGTCTAAAAAGAAAAAAAAAAAAAACACGAAAAACTACCCCTTTTTCATGGACATGGGTGGGTTTAGAAGGGGCAGTGTAATATTTTGCATATTTTCTTATTTTGAAGTCATGGTAACAGTATTTTCAGATTTGAACTGTGGTACCTATTTTGGGCGTGTATGCATATTAAAAAGTATTTCTTCTGGTCAGATATTACCAGAGCCTAGACTAAAATGCCAGAGAACAATGAATTTCATAATTTTGGTTTATTTATTTATTTATTTATTTTTTTTGCTCTTGGAAAAGACACCCTTAACCACAAGGAGGTCATCCCACGGGGGTGGTCGCTGCAGCTCTGGGGGATGGTTTTACAAATGTGGACTGTTAGGCTGAATTTACTGCTGTTTTTGGCGTCTTTCCTTATAGAAAATGTGAATGTTCTCTCTTTTATACTTGCTGCAGAATGCAGTGCGTCATAATCTTAGTCTTCACAAGTGTTTTGTGCGAGTAGAAAACGTTAAAGGGGCGGTATGGACAGTGGATGAAGTAGAATTCCAAAAACGAAGGCCACAAAAGATCAGTGGGTATGTCCACCATGTTTGAACTTCTTAGCCTAGCTTGGATTTGTGCTAACAAGTATAACGTGTAGAGGCTTTGGCTGCTAGACGGTGCTAGACCAAAGAAGTGGTTTCACGTTGTCTAAGTTTAAGGGAAGCAAAAAAGCATTTCATCCCTCCTGTTTTGTATGCCCACCAGTCCCCCTGCCCTGCTTGCTGGTCTTTGTTGCATCACATGCTAGTAGCTTTTAGGTGGCAATGCATATTAACCCTCACAAACCATTTGCTTATGCTTATTGCATTTTATTTTCTTTTTCCTGTCCCCCCTGTATTGGATGTCTGTTCTGTCCCCAACCCCGTCTCCTTTTGTTGCCACTCCATCCTTTGCTGCTGCTCCCATCCCAGGGTGCTATTCGCACCAACCTCTCACTGCATAAGTGCTTTATCAGAGTAGAGGATGAGTTTGGGTCCTTTTGGACAGTTGATGACGAAGAGTTTAAACGTGGCCGCCATATTCAACGAGGCCGTCCTCGCAAATACTGCCCCGGTGAAAACTTTGACGAGCTTGTCGCAAAGTAAGAGCCTTTACTTGCTTTTGTTTTTTTTTTTTGGTTGTTTTTTTTTTTCTGCTGTTGCTTTGGCTTTGCATGGTTGACTCATCCCATGTAGTTTTGCATTTCACCAAGAGCAGTGCCACAGCTTTCTGCAGCGAAACTAAAATTGTGTGATTTGTACATGTATTTCTCTCGTTTCTCTTTGGAACGCCGGTGCCTTGGAGAATGCTTTTTTGACGTCTTGAATGCAGATATTGGGTTGTATTTGGATTCAGCAGCTTACGGGGGGGACCCTAAAACTAGAAAAATACTTTTGCTTAACCCATAATTCCTCAGAGTAAAAAGGATATTTTTGTTTAAAGTTAAAATGTGCACTATTGGGGTAAATTCCTTCTTATTTGTCCACTCAGCATAACAATGTAATGAATGCTTACAATGTCCCAAGCATAGGGAAAAAAATTGGTGATATCTAGTCTATTTCCTTTAAAGGCCACTGATAAAAATGTCGGGCATTTCCTACTGGAAGCCAGTTTGCCCTCAGTACGTCCTACGTAATTTTTTAGTATTTTTATTTTTACTAGGCTGGAGATTTTCTTAAAACGATATCTCGACTTTATCTGGTCATTGAATGCAGATGGCGTCAAATATTCCTAGATCCTGCCCGCTCTGGCTGTATAAGACAGACATCCAGCCAGCCTCTCCCCTTACCTAGGGATGCCCCTCCCCTCTGTCATCTTTGGGCAATAACCGTGGCCTTGGAGATCTTCCTTTAAGAGCCTCCTTGCTGTCCCTCTGGCAGTCCTTGTAGCGTTCAGATGGGGAAGATACTTAAATAAGCTAGATTCTTCCCAGGAACCCCTGCTGTCAGCTTCCCCAGCCCCACCTCCAGGCTCATGCCCTCCTGTGCTGGAGTCTGGAGTCCAGGGAACTGCTAACCATTTGCAGAGAGGCTTCTGGAAGGAGTACCTTGCAAGCCCGTTGCCACTTGAGCCAGAGTTCTGCACCCAGTAGCAAAGTCTCTCCCCAGGGGCGTGCACCCAGACCAGCCCTAGCAGAAGTTAGGGGAGGGAGACAGCCTGAGTTTTCTTCGGTCTCGTTAACTTGGGGGGGTGATTGCTGATCTGGAAGGACAACCAGGTGTAGCTAGGAACTCGGGAGTCGGCCGTGTTTAACTTTGCATTTTCGTCTCTTTCTTGCACAGTAACCCTTCCCTAATTAAAAACATGCAGAGCAGCCACGCCTACTGCACGCCCCTCAATGCAGCCTTACAGGTAAGTTAAGCTTCATGGCCGTCCCGGATCCTCGGTGCAGGCTCGGGTCTCCCCACTCATTTCAAAATATATTAGCCTCGCTCTAATTAGATATTAAATTTTAATTCCGTTAAACTTTTTTCTTAAGTGCACAAAGCATCGCGCTCCCTGGAGGCAAACACATCGGGCTGCTTCAGCATTAGCAAGATGCTTAGCATTTTGAATATTGTGGCAAAAAAAAAAATTAAAAGTTCACTTATTAATATTTATCAGCAGTATCATAATTTCCATCCTCTTATTTCAGAATTTCACTTGAGGCAAAAATACCACAAGTGTAATTACTCTAGCACAGCTATTAATGTGCCAGATGATAGGCCACCGCGCCACGTGACCTTCTATTGTTCCCGGGTTTAAAGAGAAAGCAGGGCTTTGCATGTCCCTTTCTTCCAAAGTCGATATTGTGGCATCTTTGGTCTTGGGGGGGGTTGGGGTGGGGCTACCTGGCTGGGGCTCAACTCGGTGAAAGTAAACTGGTTTTTGTTTGAACAATAGAGGGGCTTAAAAAAAAAAAAAAACTCTTTAGATGTCTGGCAGACTGTGCAAGGTTACATAATCGTCACACAAGAGTGTATGTTTCCTCCCGACAAACCAGGCACTTGTCACATCACCAGCACGCAACTGGGGGGCCGAAGGCATTGGTTTTGAGCAGGAAATAGATCAGCACCCGAATGTGAGCTCGCAGGGCAGCAGCCCCTGCATGGAGCAAGCTTTTTATGTGTTGCATCTTTCATAGGTTTGCATGTCTCAGTTCTCACCTGGACAGAGTACCCCAGTGTCACTTCTGCGAAGTCCCTGGGTACACAGTGCTCAGGTGCCCCTCAGGAAGAGTTCGTGGAGGGGCAGATGTCCTCTTGGCCGGTGGTCCTGTTTGTTCTAGAAGACAGGCCAAGAGAATCTTGAGAACTTGGAAATGACATATTCTATAGATCAGTCTGACATTTGTGATATATACTGCTACCATTACAGACCTTCGGGGGATCTATCACCCCAAAATTGCTTCTTGTGCCCTTCTAGAGCTAGGCCATACTACATAAACAGATACTAATATTTCTCAGGGTGAGGGCACAAAAGGGAAAGGGATGAGAAAAAAACAACTGGGACCCTGGGCGTTCTTGGGGAGGTACGGCCAGGTACCCTGGTCCTCGCTATTGATTAAATAAACTGGGCCCTATAGACTACTTTCCCCAGATCACTAGCAGAGGCATCCTGGCCCCCAAGAACGGACGACACGGCATTTACACAGTTTTGGTTTAGAGGCAAACTCATTTGGACTTAGCATTTCAGTAATTATATTTATTTATTTTTAGCCCGAACCAGATTTAATAGGAGAAACTACTTTCTGTGTTTCTTTTAATTATTTGTAGTTTACACAGTAACTTTAGAATTGTAAATGAAAGCACGCTTAGATGCCGCCACTGTAAATACCATTCATTAGTAACTTATTTTCCCTGGAGTCTTGTGAAGTGTGAATTTAAAGACTGCTCTATCTGGAATAGTATTAAGATTACAAGCACATTTTACATTCATGAGGCAGAAAGGCAAAAAAAAAAAAAAAAAAAAGTGATCCTCCATCCTCTGGATTCTCTTAACTATGTGACTAATTTCAATTAGTATGCCCTGTCCTTTTAGAACCGTTCATGTTTCAGCCCCAAAACATTTGTTTTTGGCATCCTCTGCACCCTTTCCTGTTTCCCCTAGTAGCCCCCAAACCATCCTGCAGTTTTCCAAGACCATGTTGCACCCATCATGAGACAAGGTGAAGTAAATGGATATAAATGCATGATTGGAGGAGTGGGTTGTTTTCTTCTCCTCGGTGAGTTTGGATCCTTGATGAGTAGACAGTCACATAAGACAACTCTCTGCCGTGCAAATTAAATCAAGCTCTGCCAACAGGCCTTCCCATTATCGCCCATTTCCATTTTTTCAAGACAAGTAAAAATAATAGTGGAACAATATCTTTAAAAAATTACTAGAGCAACATAATGCATGATATACAATATATAAAATAGGACAGCAGAATCCACTACAGAAATAAAACATGGGACTTGGGACAGATTGCATTATGCTCTGAAAAAGTGAAGTAACTAAGGGTAACCGTAAAGCTTCGTATTTATAGCCTGCCTTCCCCCCGAGGAGCTCGGAGTGGTTACTGTTCCAGACGTTCTGGGACGTGTGGACTTCTGCACCGTTACTTGAGCAACTTCAGTTTTTGGCGGAGGTGCCGGCTTGATAGGAAACCACAGACTGTGCACAGGACAATTTATTTAATTAAGTCCGTTTTCGTCACAGCACCTGCTTCTCAGTGGACATCGGCTGCAGAAAAGAGCCACTTGGCCAGGCAGAAGCAGTTGGGGACAATTTTGCTAACTTTGGGTGGGTTGCTCTGACCGTTTGCTCAACAGGCTGTGCTGCGGATCGTTCTGCAAGGCCAGTTGATCCTTTTTTTTTTTTTTTTTTGAGGAACAAGGCTGGTTTTCATCACTTGCCTCTTGCTTGTCTGAGAACCAAGAGATCAATATAAATGCTTGCCTTTGTTTGCCCTTCCCCTCTGGTGGCTGCTGGGCCTCAGCCCATGTTCTGTGATCCATCCCCAATCAGCTATGGCCTTGACCTTGAGAGCCAAGGAGATTAGTAAATGCCCCGTCCCATCTATGGGGTGACCAACTCATCCCGATGAACACGTTCTTAGAAGCGTTTCGATTTTGTCTTCTCAATTTCCGCTGTTGGGGAGCTGTTAAGATAATAAGCTATTAACAGTCCCACTTTTGCTACGTTCTGGCTGTGTAACAGTGAAATTAAGCTTGTGAGCACTGATCTTGTGGTATTTCCAGAGGAAAGAGGCTCCATTGATGGTCCCTGCAGAACTTGCATGACTGGGAGAGGCATGGCCACCACTGTGTTGCCTCCCATCAAGGCAGTTAAGACGCTTGTCCAGCTGCAGTTTGCAAGAAATAATTCTGGCAACTGTTCTTCCAAAAAAAAAAAATGAAAAAATGCTTCATTGTAATTACAAGAGAGCTGTTGAAAGAAGTACTTGATGCAAATTATTTGACAAACTGTGGGAGAGTGGGGAATGTTCAGATTTGCTGTTCATCAAAATGAGCTCACCATATTTGGAAATAAAAAACAGGATTTCCCCCCCCTCCCACCCCTGCTTTTTGAAAGAAGGCAGTTACATACACGGAGAAGCGGAGGGAAGGAAGAGCTGTGGGCTTGCAGGGCCTAGCGTGGTGGGCTGGGGGGCGTCCAGCCATGGGGCTTGTATCTAGAAAGCCCTGGCTTCGGGGTTGCAGAGTCCACAGTTGTCACAACAAGCAGACTTCCTGTAGCCCAGGCTTTGTACTTTCTTTCTCCATTTCTGGCTCGCTCTTTCTGTTTAGAGCCAGGATTTCTAGACTAGTTTGGACTCTTACGTGACTGGCCAATTGAAGACACCATGCCAGATTGTCTTGTGATTGTACTTTTCTCTCTCATTAGGATGGAAAACCAGGCATAGTGTTGTCTGCAAGAGGACAGTTTTGATAAATCTTGGTCTGATTACAGCTGCCAGTTTTTGAAAGTCTGTCCTCTTTAATTAACTGAAAAGTCACTGGGTCATAATCGCCACCCAAATGAAACAAATACGGAGCCTTTCGTCCGATGGTACATTTAACTGTTGTCTGCATCTCAGACTGGGTGGCCTGCTATAGGACAGGAAGTGAACAGTATCCTACCAGAGAGTTTAGGGTTTCTTCTTCTTCTTTTTTTTTTTTTTTTAATTTCCCCACCTTTTAGCTGACATTCATTTGGAGTGACTTTGTCACCTTTAATATCAGTGTTCTTAGGCACTGAAAAGAAATATGATTTAGATCTCCCTTTTGCCAGAGATTTTTCTTTTAGTCCTGAAATCCCAGGCAATTGGTCTGAGTCTGAAAGATTATATGGCGTTACCTTCAACCAATTATCTCCAACTACCCTAAACAGATTCAAAAAAATCATTAAGACGGAAGTGATAAAAATTGATTCCAATCCTATCATCTCTTCCTTTTCTATAGGATCTAAGAGGTAAATGTTTATGGAAGCTCTCATAAGTTTGAGCAATGCAGCCAGAAAATAATCTGATCAAATTTCTAATATCCAATAGTAGAGTCATCAAAATGGATAAAGAAATGAAAATTCCATCATCTTCCACTGTGATCTGGAAATATTCAGTTCCTCTTGAAAAAAGGCATCCATCCGGCCACCTCATATTAGATAGCCTTGTCTGCCCATGTGACTCTACCAAGCCAGACTGAATTGAGTCCTTCCTCCTTTACGGGCACTTTGGTCCCTCCAACTAGCTCTTGAAAAACCAAGCCTGGGGCAGGTGCCACAAGGCACTTTCAACAGCAGAATCCTTCCACCCCCTGTTAGAAACTTGGATTTGGCCAACCATGCCGCCATTAACTTACACGGAAGGCCGTTGAATACACCTGTCATCGTTTGCTTGTCTCGCATACCCTGTTGTCTTCATCGGTTTTCTCTTGGTTGACGGCAGGCTTCCATGGCTGAGAACAGTATACCTCTCTACACTACCGCTTCCATGGGAAACCCCACTCTGGGCAGCCTGGCCAGCGCAATGCGGGAAGAGCTGAACGGGGCAATGGAGCACACCAATAGCAACGAGAGTGACAGTAGCCCGGGCAGATCCCCTCTGCAAGCCGTGTGAGTACTGTCCCCTTCCCCCCCCCCCCCCCCTTCCCCCCCCCCCCACCACCACCAAGGTCTTTGCCCTCTTGTGTGCACACGACCCCTTCTCTAGGCTCTTCCTACTACCTTTCCTGTGATTTCCCAGAACCCAGACAGAAGTTTGTGCTTCTAGAAATATGCAACACGGTCAGTGCATAAAACGACTGTGTGCTAACTTACCCATAAAAGCTGCCAGCTCCCTCTAGTCCCAAAGAGCACCCGGCAAGGGAACGAGAAACACGTTGGCTTTTTCCTCCTAAAATTGATAATGGGTCTCTCCATGGGAAAAAGTTGGCAGTTCGTTCCGACTTCCAGGCGTGCTGACACCCTCTCGCAGGGAGTGGAAAAGGAGCTTGTTTACTTGGGTGTGTGACAAGTTTGACCGCTAGCGCAGTGCCACGGTGTTGTACCCGAGCATCAACGGCGGCACGAATGAAAGGCGGCGTGATTTACAGATTGCTCTTAAAATATCAAAAGGAAAATTAATAGGAGCATTATAGCAGCAGACGGCAGCGTAATGAGTGCACATATAACCGAATGAGGCAGTGGGCGACAGTCACCCGTGCCGAATGTGAACGGTGCCGGGGCCCTGCCAGCCACGGGGCAGGCGTAGGTCGTGTTGCTGCCCCTGTCCTCGTGGGTGGGTGGTGGCGGTGAATCGGTGTGACCCCGGTAACCCCCCCTCCTCCCAGGAAACGTTTTAAAACAGAGAAAAGAAGCCACATTATTCCAAATGACTGGGGCTGTGGCACATACCGCGGAGTGACAGTCTCTGCAAAACCCGGTGCCCACTTCTGGGGACTGACGCGTTTGGTGTTTGCAAAACTGCCAGCTACTGGGACAGGCCACTTCCTTTCTGAATTACTGACCGGCGTCTTGTTTTAAGGCAATTTGGGTGATAGGAGTGGAATCGTGACCTGTAACAATTAGAAACAGAATGAAGTGGCATCTAATGACAGAGAAGAAAGTGTCATCTGTCAGCATAATTGGAAGGTGTGGGGGAATCTGAAATTTGATTTTCTAGCATTTGCATTTCGTTTCCAAAGTGCTTTGGAAAAGATCTTTAAAGGTGGGAAATAATCATTTTTAATGTATATGGAAAAACATCTCAGCATTTACTGCGCAATATTTTAAGAACATGGGTACCTCTCACCCTGATGTTGCTGTGTTTCATCATTTCTAGAGCAGCCTGCTGGGTCTGACTTTTATTGTTTTCATCCTTGTGTTCATCTTTAAATCATTGCCATGACAGGAGTGTTTACTCACATATTAAGGGAGTTCAGAGCAAATGTACATCAGTATATAAACGACCTCAAGAAATACTACTCATTACAGCAAAAAGGTCTGAAGTTATCGAATGGAAGAGATGCAATTTCTTATAATCTCTACCAACTCCAGGATTTACTTGTTCTTATTATTTAGTATAAAGGATCATTAAAATAAAAGGGAAAAAAAAACCAGCTTTGAATACAACCCTCCCAGGCAGCAGTTTAGAGTGATGATAATTTTTCTGTGCAAAATAAAGTCACTGTGAAGTTTGGATTAACCCTGGCATTACTGAAAAGCACGTTTTACAGCAGTCTTCATAATTTTTAATGAAATGAGGGCTTCAACTGGTTTTTTAAAAGACACCCTACATAAAGACGTCAAAACGTGTTGCTCAGATCTCGCGGGTTTGCGCTGTTTGCTACATGTAATTATCTGTCAACAGCGGAGTCCCTGGGCCTGCTATCAGTGTCGTGGACTGTTACTCTTTTTGACCTCATACTTCCATTAAGCGAATTCCGTAATGACATAGTTTTCATTCTTGTCCAATATGCATTACCCCGCTATGATGCAAATTGTTTTTTAACTGTTCCAGTCTATTGGAATGAATCAAGCCGTAAACTTTACAGCACACGGCTTGGAGGCCTCCAGCCCGTCTCCTATCTAGCGTTGAAACAGAACTCTTCATTCTTAGGCTTTCTGTGACTCTCACCTACCACTACATTTGGCGTCTCCTTTGAAGCACTGGAAAGTAGGCACATATAATTATGGCTTTGGGGTATTATACTTTTATCCTGATAGGAGCCACAAAGCAAAATACCCCATGCTGTGTGCACACACCCCCAGAACACAATGCCTTTAAACACCAGTCAGCTTTATTTAAAAACTCTTGTGTTCCCAGAGTGGCTAAACAAAGGAATTACTCAGATGTAAGGAGAAGGGAAATGTGTGGTTTTGCAGAGTTATTCATGGGTAGCCCTTTCAGGAGTTGGGGAGGAAGGTGCATCGTGCAGCTGGGAATTCTAGGAGACTCTACGAGCCTGCGTGGAGCGCAGTGTCTTAAATAGTTTGCATCTTATCTGAAATGCATCCTACGTGGAAATCCACCCTGTTTTATTCTTTGAAGCACTACATGCCTGTACTGCTACATCTGCCTCACCCAGGGGTATCTGCGAGTATCAGAGAAATGAAACCCAATTGCAGGACATTTCTTGGAGTTTTAAGAAACCTTAACGTTTAACCTGGGTCGTCACACAGTAGACGGAGCCAGTTAACAATTGCTGGGAACCACTTTGCATTAGGCCGCTGGGATGAAGCCAGCAGGCATGACAGGACCATTACCTGTGTCTTTGGGACAGTAAATAATCTTAATGAAGTTTTGGCTGCCAATTTAGGAGAAAACCTTTTTTTTTTTTTTTTTTTTTTTGCTTCTACAGCTTTTAAAGAAATTGGCATATATCATAGTTGTATACTGATCAAATCAGGGTAAACTGTTTTTTAGGGGGCCATCCATGTATCTGATTTTTTTTTTTTTTTTTGCTTAGCAAAACATTTGTTAAGGTCTACAATTACAAAGCAAGAATTTCATTAAGATGGATCTATCTCTTCTAGGGTTCTCCAACCCCCCCCACACACACACACAAAAAAAAACCTTAAATGATCTTATATCATCAGATTCTGGTTTGTAAATCTGAAAAGATTAATAAATGCAGTACTTAGAAAGGAAAATGTTGATCTGGAAAACAACATTTGAGCCTCGCTCTGTGGCCAAGTAAAGCGCAGAATCATGTGATTGGTGGAGAAAGAGGGAGTGATTTATGAAGTCACAATTCTCAATGGAGATGTGAAACAAACATGAAGAAATTGTTCACCGCTATCAGTAATGCAAGAAACACAACTTAAGGCTACCTGAGCTTACCTTATTCTTGCTAAGCAACAAAATGTTTTTGTTTTTTTTTTAAATAATGCTTGGTGCTGATGAATTTGCGTCTAAATTGATAGCCCCTTTGGAAATTATTGTCGCAGTAAATCATAAGGACCATAAAGATGTTTTGGCCTTTGCTCCAACAATTCCATTCTTAGAAATTTATCCTAAGGAGGTAAATCAACAAGAGTAGAAAGATTAATGGATTAAAATGGTCACTGTATTAGACAAACAGTAAAAGGGAAGGGGAAGAAGACAATCCTAAAATACCCAGCATTAAGGGACTGACACGTCAACATAATAGAATCTCTTAGAGCCATAAAAATTATAACTGTAAAGCTAGCAAAATAAAAGATCATATTGCTGCTGTGTTCGCCATATGTAAAAATCCCACCCCTCGTGGTAAGGGTATAGCACAAAAAAAAATTGACCTTAATTAGGCGTGTACTTGATTTTTTTAAAGAGATAATAATCACTATAACCAATTTCCCCAAAAGATTGCTACCAGGGCTAACTTCATAAGGATTATAATGCGTGCAGTCTCACAGGGACCCATACCTAGAAGGACACTGCACTTTTCTGTTGTTTTTATTATTTTTTATTTGTATTTATAGAGATGAGTTCTCACTGTATCACCCATGCTGGCCTCGAACTTCTGGGCACAAGCAAAACTCCTGCCTCAGCCTCTAGAGTAGCTGGGAGTATAAGCGCATGCCACCATGCCCAGCATGCACTAGTTTTACCGTTCTGCTCTGTCCTAAAATTTTTAATTTTTGAGCCAGGTACCCCCACATTTTCATTTTGCACTGAGCTCCACAATTACGTAGCCAGCCCTGAGTCTTACCGTAGAAAGGCACAGAGCAAATAAAACCATTAAAAGATTAAAAATAGATGGAGAGCCAGATGTAAAATATACTGTAATGCAACTTTGCTCTATTTTGTTTTGCAAATAGCTTTTAAGAATAAGGGCATGTTTTTTTTTTAAAACTATTTACCTAACATCCAGCCCCCTAAACTCTCCCTACGCTCTCTCTGCTAATTTTCGAGTCAATTGATTGTGAAGGTTCCTGTCTTCAAGGGCAGTCCAAAGCACTCTTCTGTTTGTTTTTAAATGGTTGAAGGGGCCTTTGGGGTTTGCAGACAGCATCAATTATTTAGGAATCCAACTACCCCCAGTACCACCTCTTACTACTAATACTTGATAATGTCAATTAAAAATTTCTTCCCTTCTGCAGCCTGTCCCAGAGATGGGACTTTTCTTTCTTTCTTTTTTTTTTTTTAACTTGAATGGTTCTTTTACATATCAAAAGCCCTGCAACAGAAAGTAATTTGTATTTGCAAAGGGTCCCTTGTAAATATGATTTACGAACAACATTTCTCCATTGTTATCGGAGTGGTTTTGTGTGGTCACCCTGGTACCCTTTTGGGTGATCCGTGCGCAGGGCCATAATGAGAAAGTTGGCAGATGTCATGCGTGCCTCTTGCAGCCCGCTGGCCGCTACCAGCCGGCCTCGTGTTTTGCCTTGTTTACAGCTGACAGCGTTATTATTCCGATTGGGGCTCTGCTTGCTTATCATAGTGTTGTGTTGGGCGAGCCTTTTCCTCTTCGTTTGTGTTTCCTGGCAGGGCTTTTCTTGCCTTATTGACAGTTTGTAAAAAAAAAAAAAAAATATGCATTAATTTGGAGTTTCAAGCATGTATCATGGTGTCTCTTCGCTGTGTTTGCTTGAAGTTGATTAATGATAGAACCTCGCTTGGGGTCGTCCTCCAGAGAGTTCTTTCACAGGTTCTGCATGTTAACTAGCAAAGCAGAACACACAGCAAGCCGTGATTAGCCCAGCCTCCTGTGCTCAGCGGTGCCCGCAACCCACCGTTGCATGTTTCACGTTTTGGAAGATTGCATCTATCCACCCAGGATGCCCCGACGGGGCCTCTTACCTGGTCCCCTGAGTGTGGTCCCAGGGCCAGCCAGATCTGCTGCATCCCAATGAGGTCCGCAGGTGACCGGGGTGTGCACGTTAAAGCAGCGTGAGAAATGCCACCAGGTAGGAGATACCCGAGAGTCTGTCCAGAGACGAGTCCTTCATCCAAAAGAGCTTTCTGCAATGGTGGAATGTTCTAGGCTCATTGCCGTCCAGCATGGTAGCCACTGGCCACATGTGCCCTTTGAACACTTGAAATGTGGCCAGTGCAAACGCAAAACTTGGGTTTCCAATTGCATCACGTTTTCAGTCGTGTTAATTTGGAGAGCCCCGTGTGGCTGCCGTATGGGACAGTGCAGTTCTGGAGGGTGGCTTTTACGTTGCCCCGAAACGCTTGAGTTGGGCTGGGCAGCGCCCTCAATGAACCTCTGCTTGCTTTTCCAGGCATCCCGTACACGTCAAAGAAGAGCCCCTCGACCCAGAGGAAGCTGAAGGGCCTCTGTCCTTAGTGACAACAGCCAACCACAGTCCAGATTTTGACCATGACAGAGATTACGAAGATGAACCAGTAAACGAGGACATGGAGTGAATGTCTGGGCCGGCCAACCCTGAAAAACGAAGATTGGAAAAAGAAAAAGGAAAAAAAAGTCAAAAGTTAGCAGTGAAATTGTTCTCCATTTGTTGTACAGCCTGGAGGATTTTCACTACATTTTGACAACTCTGAAATGTGTTAACTCTTAGTGCCATCAAGAACCCATTTGGGAGTATTTTTGATTTTTCTACTTTTTGTTGAAAAAAGGAATTTGTACTCTGTGCATTGGATGGACTTGTTTGGTACTTGGGATTTTCCTCTCTCTCACCAGTCAACATCAGTGTTGTAAATTTGCTAAACTGATTCACTTCTAGCAGCAGACTTTGAACTGCAGTCCTGCCAACGGGGGGGGGGACAGGAGGAGGACGCCCGACAGAGCTGGTGCACCTAAGCTGCAGACCAAGCCTTTGCCCAGAATTTAAGGATTCCAATGGACGACCTATTTGCACAGTACTGCATGTTGATTATCACTGCCTTTACTCTTTTTTTTTTTTTTTTTTTGCTTCCAGTTGGGATGGGGAAGGCCTTTGTGTGTGTATTGGGGGGGAGGGGTTAAAAATAATTATCCCAAACTTTTTAATGTATTTTTTTTTTTTTTTTTTTTTTTCCTTCTACTATACCATTTTAAGTTCTGACCTCAGGCCTCCATGTGGGCCCGTGGCCTCTTGGAGGCTTAAAGTTTTCTGTACCTTGTGATGAATGTTAATAGGTGTTTTTATTATACAAAGCTGAATGTCATTTCTCGTTTGTAGCTTTCTGTCACTCATTCCATCTTCCTTCAAACATCACATTTTCTCGAAAGTCAGAAAAAGAAAAAAAAAAAAAAAACAAAAACACAAAACATTCCGTTTTGGTCTTTTTTCCAAAAAGGTCCCAAATGCTGCACTCTTACACATGAAGGTCCTGCCAGAAAGAGAATGAATGACAGAAAAAAAAAAAAAAAAAATAAGACACACTCTCTAGGAACAATGCCGATTCATTCTATGAAGCAGTATTGGGGGTGGTCAGGGGGCTGTTTCAGATTTTCGTCTTTCTTTCTGCAGAAACCATCATTCCTAATAACAAATGCCACAGCACACGGAAACATGGGCAGAACCGAAAAAAAAAAAAAATCTCATAATTAGACTGACAGTATGGTCGTGGAAGGCTCTCTGGTGGAACCAGTGTGGGTTGCTTTGTTTGCAAAACGGCCCCCAAAAACCAGCTTCCCTGAGCAACTGTGCTGAAAACAGTGGCGGCAGTGAACGCTGACTCTGTACATGCGTTCAGACCTGCTTGGTGGTATTCATCTGTCTGCGGATTAGATTTCAGATTGAACTTGTTATGGCAGTTAATGAGGACTGAGTTCAGCAAATGCGAAAAGTGTTCATTCCAAAACGTGCAAATTCGGTACTGCAGTCCAGTTTGTCATGCGATGTTTATCACACCGACCCAGTGTCAAAAACATTAACAGGAGCAGACAGACACGAGGTGGGCTGGGCTCATCCCAGCCCTGGGCTTTTGGGAACCAGATAGGGCACATGCAGACGGTTCTAGGCCAGCACACAACCTCAGTCCTTAGAACCCCTGGACTCTGCACCCAACTTCCCCGTCATTTATTGATCTAGGACTGTAGCTTTTTAGTTCGAGAGCCTTTTGAAGCTTAACTTATATTCTTTGTACCTTTTTTTTTTTCCCCTAAAATTACCAAAGATATTACACAAAGGTAAATTATGTTCTGTTTTATGCTTTATCTGATGAAGCCAAATATCCTCTTATTGATCAAAGGAGGCAAAAGAATTTAGAGGCAAATGACAAGACTATAGGCTATTGCTTACCTGAGAAAGAAGACTGCTCCTTCCATAGAGAGTAAATTTAGAAGACCAAGTAGGTAATGGAACCAAAGTTGTTACTTTTTTCTAGTAGTTTTTTTTTTTTTCTTCTTCTTCTTCTTTTTCCCTATACCTCTATACAGAGACCAAAACTCATTCTTACAAAGAGAAATTATGGGGCTCCTTTGGATAAAAATAGGACACAGTATTGAAGGAGCAACAAAAAGGAAGAGAGTCCCATCTCAAAGAAAAAAAAAAAAATGAATGTATACCACTGAAAATTTAGGGTAGTCAATAAAGGAGACAGTTAAGTGTCAGAACAGAAAAACCTTTCCACAATTGAACTAGACCACATCATAATAGTATTTCTAGAATTAGAAAAAAACAAAAAAAAATTTAGAAAGATCATATGCCACTTTTGTTCAAGGACTGTGCTGATTGCTGCATTACTTTTAGTTTATCTTGGCATATATCTTCCAGTTTGGTTTTGTTTCAGTTTTGTTTAGGCTGTGGTCAGCATTTTTTTCATTAAAAAAAAAAAAAAAAAGTAACACTCCCGTCCACTCATAAGCTTGGTACAAAAACTTCTTTGGCAGTTACTTTTGAAGCTTCACTCTGCTTTCTGTATAAAAGGCAGTCTGTGGTGACTCAAGACTTTTTTTTTTTTAAAAGAAAAAAAAAAAAAAACCTTTCCAGGCAGCTTCATGATGTACAGGCAGTAGCCAGACAGGCAGGGGAATGAGGCCCTGCGCTTCTAAGCTGAGTGGTTGCTGGTTAGTTTGGTATTCAAAAGAGGATAAAAATCTGGTAGATTAGCTCATTCTCAGCATGTGTAGCTAGACAAGAGTAAAAGATAACAGCATGAGAAACTGTTAGTACGCATACCTCAGTTCAAACCTTTAGGGAATGATTAAAATAAAAAAAAAATACATTTCACTCAGTTGCACTTAGTTGTTATGTCTTGCATGCTTAGTCTAAAGACTGTAGCAAAAAAAAAAAAAAAAGAAAAATTAGATTTTTACATGTCTTTGCAGGTATCACAGCCTTGCAGAAGAACCAACTGAAAAAAAAAAAAAATTCTCAGGCTATACAGCAAGCAAACTTCACTATGATTTTTACAATTCTGATTCTGTATCCCTTGGGGGTAATTCCAGTCGCTTCTTTGGGATGGGGTTTATTATGTTGTACATATATCCCGATGTGTCTGTGTGAATCTTTGTCTTTTTTGGGGGAGGGCAGAGGGCGGTTCTTTTTTTAGATATTGTTCCTAAAAAGGAATAAATGCATACACCTGTTTGTCAAAACACCTTTGCTTTTTGTGCAACTGCTTTATATTAACTATACTAAAAAAAAAAAAATAGCTTTGGGGAAAAAAAAAACTACTGTATGTAATGGAATTGCAGAATTTGCTGCACATGTATTTTATTTAGTTATCCTTCCTTTAAGAATATTGGATGACATTTCCTGACATATGGGACGGAGAAACTCCCTAACTTTTTTTGTTTTTTTTTTTTTTTTGTTTTTTGCTTTTAAATTGTAACATAGTTGACAAGATTTTTTTTTTCTGTTATCATCAATTGGAGCATTTTGTACAGGTTTTTTTGTGTGTGTGCGCGTGCGTGTGTTAATATGTTTTTTGATACATTCCTATCCCTTGTGTTTAATCCTACCACTGCCTTCCTGCCTGTCTTAAACAAGTTCATACATTTGAAAAGAAAAAAAAAAAATGTTGTTTAAAAAAATGTTTTCTCCTGCTGCAGTAAATATTTTGCATGATGAAATTCCAGGGTCACACTTTTCAAAGTTTTATCAGTGAAGTAGTGATTCATATTGGGGAGTGTCAAAACTATTGAACTTTTGTATAAAAAAGAAAAAAAAAGAAACTTTTACAAGGTGCCAAGATGTAGAGACAATTTGTTACTTTTTTTTTTTTTTTCCCCCTCTCCTCAAAGAAAAGCGTATACTAGGGAGGTTTTCCTGTGTAGCAGGCAAATGCACTGTCAGGGATGAGGACCCATCTCCTTGTCCCCTTGTCCCTGGAGTCTGTCCCTATAAGAGGAGTTAGGCTGCCATATTGGACCAGCAGCAGAATGGAAAATCAAGGCTCACGTATGTGCATGAAGAATGACATTCTCTGGCCCTGCCACCCTCGGACAGCTCTAACTTTATTCCCAGCATTCTGTCAAACCCAGTAAAGAAAACCTTGGATTCTTAACCCTAAGATATGATGTATTAATTACTAGCTTTTTGATCATGGAAAAAAAAAAGAGTTAAAAAATAATTCCTTTCCTTTTCACATTCCACTTGAGCTCCGTTTCCAAGGGTACAGAGAAGAGTGTTTGTAAGGATTTGGAAACTTTTTGGTACCTTTTTGGTTATCGGCAACACCCTCCTGATATTTTGGCTGTTTTCAAAGTCGGTATTTGCTTTTTTATCCTGAGAATCAGATTCGCAATCCTAAAGGCATTTGTTGGGCCACCCATGATCCTTGCTGAAGATGGTACAGTCCGGACTGTGAGCATGGTGCTTCGTGTTTATGTGCTGCCAGTAGCAAGAATTTTTTTTTGTTTTGTTTTGTTTTGTTTTGATAAGGCATAAAAGAATCTCATTCCTTGACATCAACTGTAATTCCATCATTCCATGTCTGTGGATACAGACAATAAAAAAAATGTTGTGTAGTCAGTACTAATTACTGACATTATAGCATTCTCAAATGCAATAAAAATGCTGGTTGTTCACACTGGTAGTAAAAGTTGCCACAGCCTAAGTTTCTTTCCCCTCCTGACCCCCTGATATTGTATGTTAGGCATATGCCTCCGGTTTATCACCCCCTGCTTGCAATGCAGAATTAAAGTCAGTCTTAACTAAAAGCTTTCATCATCAGAGAGAGAGAGCAGAAGCTCTTATCCTCAGGATTTCCAAGTGAAAAGTATCCACTGAGAGAATTGGGAAAGGGGTGAGAAAAGAGAGAAATGCTATCTTTTCTCTTGAAGAAGCACACTGTTAATTTTTCTTTATCAAATTTGATAAAGAAAAACAAAATGTTTAATAACTAGCATTAAGAGCAAACTAAAATTTCAGAGGAAAGCAATGTCATGAATAATTCATTGAAATTTCACATCTGCAAGATTAGTCATCCAAATAAAATGCTAATGTCAAAAACATGCACCGTCTATAATATTCTCATCAAGAAATCTTTTTGCATATAATGATAAATGCTTAGATTAGAACAAATGATTTTATA